GGGGGGGGGTGGAGAGCTCTTCCAGGAAGAGCTCGCCGCCCAAGCCTCAAAACCCAAACGGAAATAGCTCGCCGCCCCCCGGAACATGACCAGCTCGCCGCCCAAGCTTCAAAATTCAAAGGGGAATAGCTCGCCGCCCTCACCCACTCCCACCTCCCCATCCCAAATTGGGTAATGTTTGTGGAAGGCTTAAATCCCTATGTGTTTCATTCCAACACAGATTGTTGAACCATGTTTTGCAATTCTTCCATCCCTCTGGCTTTGAATGAGCTCCTTCCCAATTCCCCACCCAAGCGTCCAGCCAGAGAAACACGTCAGGGTGAGATCATCGGGATGAGAATGCCTTCTGACCTGGAGTTGGAGCAGGTGCAAAATGCCCTGCAGTTTGATGATGGCGGTATGCGGGGTCTTGCGTGTGCATTGGTGTGGTGTGGCATTGTCTACCATGCCACGACGTTCAAAGATGAGGACCTGGCCAACCCCTCCATGGTGGAGCTTGCCCGAAGCTTGTTGGCACCTCCCACGATCTACCGAACCCCAGGTGCTGATGAAACTGCTAGCATGATCAAGCGGATCATAAAACAAAATGTGGACGCCAAGAAGCAGGCTGTATCAAGCTATGAATGGTCCATGATTTTGAGGGGCCTCGTCACTGACAAGAACAAGACGCTCACAGTCCAAGCGGCCATGGACATGTACAACAACAATCCTGAAATCTCTGCCCATGGCGGCACGGGGAAGGAGTGCATTCCACCACAAGATTTAGGGACTTGATAAGCCTAGTAGTCCACCACTATCAATGAATGACGCAAACATAAACTTGGTGATAAGGAAAAACTGCAGTCAACCGACCTGTCTCTTTTGAAAGGGGAGGATATTGAACCTTTGGGTCGTCCAAACCAGCTTCCAACAAACTGGATTCTTTTTGGGGTAAGTCAACCTCAGCCAGGAATCGATCCACTGTCGGGTGGATTGTTGCCAATGAGTGGAAGCGGGGAGTTTTGATCAATGTCACTGCACTGCCAGGACAAAGTTGGCGCTGGGAGCCTCGTCTTGGACGGCAAGAAACAGTATGCTATCAAACATTGGTTTGAATGCACCTCCGATGAGGCCCACGAGCAAGTGCAGATCGCCTTGCGAGATGCTGCTTTCCAATTCGGACCATTTGGAGAGCAGCTGTCCATGCTGAAGCTTCTGTTCTTGGAATCCCAATCTGGATTGACTCCTTTGTCAGGTTGTGATTTGAGCCCTGTGAACAATGAGCCGACAGTGACCATCAACTGGGCCCTTCCGATGGACGGCCCCACCCAAGGAATTCTCTTCCTCCGAATTCGGAAAGCATTTGAACGAGCCACTGCGATCATTGACCAGCCCAGTGACAGAAAGAAATATCGAATGAACGAGGAGGACTTGATGAACCTTCGCAATTTGGTATGTCTTTGGACTCAAATAAGATGTTTCTGCTCCACTCGCACCAAGGAGTTTGAGGCACTGGACCAGTCAATTCGTTTGAACAACTCCAAGGACCATGAGCTGCAAGCCATTCTGGATGCACGTCCATCTCAGTTTGGGATTTCTATGCTCCCATGTGCCCAAAAAGAAGCCGTTGACACACTCCGTTCCGAGGAGGAGGGGAGAGTTATGGAAGTTGAGAAGGAGCACTTGGCCGTGCGTGATGCACGGTGGTCTTACTTCAAGAATGCCCTGCTGCGTGACCAGGAGAAACTCAAGATGGTCCAGGACGCCCCCAGCAAGCTTGAAGCTTTGAAGCACCGCAAGCAGATTGCATTTCGCCTCCAACAGGCCAAGGTTGGTGAAAAGGTCATCAAGTCCTATGGTGACAAGTTCTTTCGATGTGATCTGGTTGGCAAACCGGAGCTGGCCCAGCAAAAGATCAACGAGTACCGCTCCTTTGTAGTATCTGGGCTGAACTCGCCATTGAAGGTGTAAAACCTGAGAGTGTGGGACTTTGGGATTGATGACGGTTGATAAATATGATGATGACATATGATGATGAAAATGATGATGATGATGATGGTTGTTGTTATGATGATGATGATGACGACGATGATGATGATGATGATGTGGGTGATGATCAATACCATGATGATGGTGACCCCTCGGACCTGTTCAGCTCAGGCCAAGAGCACTGGTTGCAAAGCTGACCAAGATATTTACATGATCGTGGTGGTGGACCTGAATGTTCCTGGGGCGAAGAACTCTGAGACATTGAATGAATTGTGCTCCTGCATTCAGTTCTGCAATGATCTCGCACCAACCCGGACCATTTGCATGCTGGAGCTGCCGGAGACAGCAAAAAAAACATCGAAGCGCGGCCTTGCAGACGAGGAGGCAGAGGTCCAAACCGCCCTATGGAGCTTGAGGCAATCATGCGACTGCCGATGGGTCTGTCCATTTCGAGTTCACCCAACGGCAGATGCACAAACAAACCGCAGGCAGGGCATGCAGTGTATCAACCAGCAACACTAACCCGTCACAGCTATAATGGAGTTTCACACCAACTGCTACAAACCAAGACTACTAAGTAGTAAGTGGTTTTCATCGTGACTCGGAGTCAGTTGCAGTCAGTTGACTCCAGGCGATTCAACTCTGGCCGCTTGGTGGGAAACTTGGATGGGGCTCAGGAAAATGTCTTCCTCACGACTTCAGAGCTGGGCTTGTGTGGGCGACCACTTCAAGGTGAGGAGGACATCGTCCTTCCACTCAGCAAGGACATGCTCCTTCCGGAGTCCCTTGATGCCGAGTCTGACTTGAAGCAAGCGGAGCGCCAACGGCCGAGCATTGAAGCATGCCAAGCTCAAAAGCTGAAGGACAAGCCTTGCATCATCTTGAACCTCACTGGGTACATCGAGGATGTTGGGTGTGCTGTTTCTTGGCTTTTGGGTGGAGAATTTGGAATGACTTATCATTATCAGTGCGTCCAACCATCGCTACATTGAATTGGAACCTGTATAGGATTTGGTCTCTGTAGATTTTGGGCTTGAGCATTTTTCAGTGCTAGCCATGATGCTTCCTGGTCCCGAACTATTCTTCCAACATGCAAAAAGCATAATGCCATGGCACGACGAGCCTGACAGTCCTCGTGTGGGGTCCACTCTTCCTGTGGTTACTCCATATGTTCATTGTCATGCACAAGAACCGTCTGATTCGGCTGTTTTAGAGCGATCCCCACATGATGAACTTCCGGTGGATTGGCAAATCATGCCAAAAGCAGCTGGGGTGACTATCCGGGTTCTGCGGCCATCATTGACAGTCGGTCAAATCCTGCACCACTGCAAGGACTGGGTGGGTGAACAGCCCGTTTTGCCAATGGTGATGATTGCAAGGTTTGCAAACTTTCCCATTGCCCCCTTCACTGTAAGGTAACCAATCCTTAGTCTTATGGTTTGCCATAGTGTGCAACTAACTTACAATATAAACCGCTCACTCTAAGTCAAAACGATTGCCTCATTCTTGAATTGGATCGGGGACCCTTTACCCAAACAGGACCAAGTTCAACTTGTCCGAGATAGACATGGTGGGAATCAACTCGCTGTATTCAAGATTGGCATCACCCATTGCCTGCAAGTGCGTGTCCAGTATTACTACGAAAATCACTTTTCGGAGATGTGTTGCATCCATGCCAGTAATTCGCTTGCCCAAATTGAAACCCTTGAAGCATGTTTGATAGACCTGTATGCAAGTGCAGGACCCGGACCATGTCGTAATGTCGCAAAGGGTGGAGAAGGCATGCGGACCAAATCAGGTGCACCTAGGAAACAACCTCCTTATTATTTGTACATTGTTGCGGCAAATGCTTCGCAAATGAAACGAATTGGAGGTTGATATAGTTCCTTTTGCTCAGAGAAAACACCTAATTAGGGAAGAGGGCAAGGAAATTCCAGCCTGCTGACCAACGCTTGGGCGAACAAAACAAAATGCGTGCTTGATTGAATGAGCTAAAAAAAATCTCTAGTGAGACCCCCCCGAAAATGTCCATGTTCTGAGGGTCCTCCAAAGAAGCAACACTAGATGCTGACAGGTCAAATGGAATTTTTCCCTGGTGTGTTTGGGCTAGACCCCACACTGCGTTTTTGTCTTTTCCCTTCGGTTCAAATTCCACCCCTAAGCGGTTCCTGATTCTTTTTGCACTGGCTCCCACCCAGGCTTTCAACATGCGGTTGGAAAACGAGGAGCTGAAAGGTGGCTTCAAGACTGAGATGTTGTTCTACCACTCAGTGCAATGGCTCACGAAGGACTCATTTGGCCACGTGCGGCTCTTGCGTCAGATCACCGATGCATGGACCCAGCGAAAGTTTGGGCACGCAGGCCACAAGTTCAGCATGGAATTGCCAGAGCTTTCTCAGGAAGAGGTGGACAGCATCCCAGGTGGCCGTGCGTCACTGGGCAGCTTTGACGAGATGCGCTTTGAAATCCTCGAGCGCGTTGGCAATCGCATGGTGATAAAGAGCGACGAACATAAGTTTCTTGACTTCGAACATGGTTGTTGACTGTTAAGTGGTTTGGATTTGGTTGGGTAAACATAACGTCTGTCCCCTTCCACGTGATCTTTTTCCTGTTCATCACAGGTCGTATTGGTTCTGAAAATTCAGAATCATCTGTGTAGCAAACAAAGTTCATTTTAATTCCGATGCATTCCAACCTTGGCTGCTACAAGGTACTGGAGCGGGCAGACTGGCGCTCTCTTGGCTGAGTATGAGGACCTGCGACAAGGTCACCTGGAGCTGGTGGGCCAGTCATCAGCTGTGGCTGTGGTTGCTGCGGAAGGCCAGGCAACCACCGAGGAACCGACATCCACTCCGGCCAGGCCCACATTCGTGGAAGTGGAAAGTTTGAGCAAGCTGGAGGAAACCCATGGTGGCATAGAGCTGAAGGTCAACAGCGAAGCCGGTGGAGTGGAGCTCATTCTCTGCAAGGACGGCACGATTTGGCTTCTGTGTGGGCAGAACCGAACAATCCCCAAGCATTCAGTGCTGGCCGGCTTCGGGACAGGACAATGGCTTCCGGAAGCAGAGTGCACTGATGGTGGTGTCCCATTTGCGGTTCCACATGGAGACCGCACGCTGGTGCAAATTGATGAGGCCTCCTTCTCGACTGAGGCGCAGGGGAATCAAACCCTGACCTTGTACAAGCTCCTTCTCAGAGCGGAGACTGAAAAGCAATTGACTGAACACCGCGTGTCCTTCTTGAAGGTGGAGCGGAAGGCTACGGTAGAAGCTGGCCAGGATGGCTTTGAGGTCACCATCAAGAATGGCATGACCTTCAAATGCTTGAGGGACCCACGAACTCAACAAGGAGAAGAGCGATTGACGTCGAAGAATTTTTTCTCGAAATGCTTGGCTTCGCTTCCCAGGGAGACGGCCATGGTTGTGTTCAGGTTTCGCTATGAGAGGGTTGGGCAAAATTTTAAGATTCAGCGGCCATACGTCATTGCCAGCGTTCCCATTAGTCTCAGGAAGGACGTGCCATTAAAGCTGTCCTAGGCTGTTATAGCTGCAGTGTGATGTGCGGGATTCTGGGGCTGAGGAACTCGACAAGCAAGCTCCAACTATCCAATCTCTTTTCCAAGCTCATTGAACCATTGTTTCCAGGGCTGCTTTTGAAGCTAAGTTCAGGAATCCCCCTCGGAATCAATTTTGGTGGATGAACTTGATTGGGAACACCCCAATTTGACCCTGGATGCGAGCAGGCTGCAATCCCATGATAGATGAACTTTCAATCTAACTATGATGCGTCTTTTGCTTTTCTTACATCCTTCAAACTCTTCGTTTCAATACTTACTGTACTGACCCCATTCCTATGAACCTACCTTCTACTGTTTGGTTTCCACTGTACAGCAGGTGCACGCACGGAAACGGTGACTAGCGCTCAGCAGCAGTTCCTGAACGGAACTCGCCCAGGTTAGCTTCGACTGAGTTAGGTGTCAGTCTTTGATCTTGGGCGAGTACATCAGGCCAAGTGAAAAAACTTGCGGTGTCAACCTGCTCGGATGCTCGCTGGTCTCACCATCCTTGAGATTTTGAAGTAGCATATCATATAGTACTCTAAAAGTCAACTTGGGCCAACATGGGGAAACTGGTTGGCTCAGAAGACATTTATTGACATACCATACATTAGATCTGAAACCACTGATGCTCTGTTTTGCAGCATGCAGCCTTTGCGAATCCCCGTCTATCACCAGCCATTTAGAAATCAGAGTCAGTTTTTGTTGGCAGCCCCACGAAAAATGCCTCCTGTCACCTACGCTGATGTCTTCACCTTGTGGGAGGGCATGATGGGGTTCCACGGCTTGGAGGAAATGGCCAACCGGGCTAGCTTTCAACATGAATCTCTCCGGGAGCTTCTGATGAAGTTGACCCCAATATGGTCCGACAACCCTGACCAGCTTCAAGCTGCGGTTGACACGGTGCAGATCTTGACAATATGCCAGAGCATGACCTTCAAGTGTCAAATGGATGGTGAGGGCCGTGTGCGAGAAGGGGCCTTCCAGCTTTCTACATGGGTTGAAGGCTCGCAGGTCTTCAACGTCCCACAGCCAAGGCCACGGGCATCTCTGCGCGCCAAGCTCGCCGACTACACCAAAACTGATCATTTGTTTCGCATGCTTTCTAGGGAGGTTAAGCTTGCCCGGATTGAAGCAAACAATATCATCACCCAGTGTGACTCTTTCCAAGTCCCCGAACTTAAGGGGCGATTTGAACATATTGATGTCATGCTGGATGATGTCCAAACAGTGCTTCGCACCCTGGGGTAGAGTAGAGAGGCTGACAACAAGTCTCTGTAGCACGGAGGCCTTCTCATAGCCCAAAGGGGTCAGGCTCTCCTGGTTTTGGACGATATGTTGTGAGAAAATTAAATGAGATTCAATCCCATTTGGCCATAACAAACCTCACCTATTATATCCTATTATCAAGAATGTTCCAGGGAAGTTGATAGGGCGTTACACGTACTTGGGGTTCAGTGCTGTGAGGATTAGTTTTTTGATGTAAAGCTGATTCGCAGCCATGGATAAAGCGTGAAAGAATTGAGTCAACTTTCTTAAGCACAGGTTGTGTTGTGACATGCATTGGGGAATCAAAGGCTTCGGCTCAAGTTTTCCAGCGGTGCTTCATTAGCACCATGACACTTGAATTTGACATAGCGGCCAGGATTTTTGCTTTTCAGGGCCATACCGATGCTCAAGCTCCTACTCCAGTGGCACGCGCCACATCTTCAGCTCCTACTGCAGCTCCTACTGAGGTCATTGAAGAAACGCCATCTCCAAAAGCATCGGCATCTCCGGACGGTACGCGAAGAGGGCGGGGACGTGGACGGGGCAAGGGCAGAGGCAGAAGAGGCAACGCACCGACACCGAAAACTATGCCATCTACAGGTTCCTCATTGTGGTTAAGAACTGAGTCTCTAATCACCGTCATCATGTTGAACAGTATTTATTTTTATTGTCACACCTAATAGGCTCATTTTGTTGGAGTTGGAGCCTGAATCAACGGAACTTTGGGAACCTTCAGGATTTCAATAATTTTACCATCGGGCGTGTTGACTAAGGTTTGAAAGCTGTCAAGCGACCAGCAGCGAAGGCTTTCAAGCGACCTGCGGGACCTGAAGGACCTACACCATCAGCTCGAGCGAGTGCACCTCTACCTGTTCTGAAGCGCCCTGAAGCTTCACCACTGAAGACCCCTGTAGCTGTTGAAACATCGAAGACCCCTGAGAAGAAATTGGACTCACATGCAGAGGGGGAAGAAGAGGACCCGAAAGATGACGACCCAATACTTGAGACAGAGGAACTGGAACCCCCAAAGAAAAAACCTGCCATTGCCACTAACAAGAAGGCTGCCTCAAAGAAATCTGCTCCACAGAGAGGAGAGATTGTTCAATCCATTGACAAACCAAATGGATGGAAACTTCTTCAATACAGGACGCCCAAAGGTCGTCTGTA